CGACACTGAGTGCGGAGGCAGTGGGTGGGCCTCGCGGCCGCTGGAGGTAACCTGCCAAGCCCCCGCCGGCTCCCGCAGTGGGGTGCCCGGGGAGGGTCACTGTGCCTCCACAGTTGGATGCCCATGTTACAGAAGGGGAAACTGAGGCTCGGGCAGTCTAAGGGCTTGCCAGGGTCCCTTGGCCAGGGAGCTGTGGGTCTTGTGGACCCAAGGCTGGGCAGCAGCCATGTGCACCGCAGCCAGCACCGGCTGTTGCCCCTTACAGGAGCGCCCCTTCCTGTGGGGCCGTGGCGTTCCATCCCCTGCTCTGCCCGCCCGTGGCCTCCCCACGCCCCGTCCCCGTGGCCCTTACCACGTCCCCATCACTCGCCGCCAGGGCGGCCACTTCTCCCTCCTCAGTGCAGGGGAAGCAGTACTTCCGGAAGGTGGGGGCCCACTAACCGCCTGCCTCAGGGTTTCAGTTCCGGGGGGGTCCCCAGTCAGGTGCGGGGGCACTGCTCAGAGCCCAGTTCCTGTCTGGTGCTGGCTCACCCTGCGCCTCCGGCCTGGCTGTGTGCAGGGCACCTGCTCATCCCTCATGGGTGCCCGACCACCCCAGCCCTGGGCTCTCCCCATTTCCATGTGTGCTGATCACCTCCTCATCCCTCATGGGTGCCCGACAACCCCAGCCCTGGGCTCTCCCCGTTCCCACGTGCTTTCCTGTTGGATCCCGAGCTGGCCCTCCGCTCCGGAGGGGACAGGGAGCCCGCTGCCCTTTTCTGTTGAGCGGCCTCGTGGCCAGTTTCTCGCCCTGCCTGCGGCCTGCTGCCTGCGAGGTGCTTGCTGTGCTTGCTTCAGCAGTTCCAAGGGACGGTGGGGATTTTGAGGTTCCCCTTCAGGAAGGGCTGGAAGCCTGGGGGATCACCCTACTTCAGTCACAGGAGACTCCTAGCAGTGGGTGATCCGCAAGGAGACGGGCGTGGGGCTCAGGAGCCCTGGGGAGGTACCCCTTCCCACGTGGGTAACACTGGGAGCAGCTGGCACCCTGGGCCGTCCAGGCCACCACACTCCCTCCCTCGCTGCTGAGAGCACACTTCCCTGGACGGGGTTGTCCCACCTCGGCTTTACCCTGCCTCTCCGCACCCACGCGTTGGGGGGAGGGATTCTTTGTTGTCTCTTGCTTACCTTTCTGGACTGCAGCCTAATAGCCCCGTGGGGCTGGGACATCTCTCCAGAGCCAGGGCCAGGGCGGCTTTCCTCTCCCCTCGGTCCCCCCAGGTCCCCGTGAGCTCCCTGGCCATCCCCTCCTGCCCAGGGTCACGGCTTACTGGTGGTCCTGCAGGGAGGGGCAAGGGGTATGAGGTGGTGGGGTGTGGGGCCAGCGATGAGTCTTGCCTCTCTGGCCTCATTCCGGAGGTCCTTGTGGGGAGGTCTTTGGGGGTGTCTGAGAGTGGCTCACTCGCTGTGGGCTCGCGCCTGTGCCCAGCAGGGACAGCCTGAGCGGTGGCGGCCAGGTGGTGCCAGGGTTCCTTCTAGTCCGCAGCGTGGCTTAGGAGGTGGGGCGGCCAGGCGGGCACTCACGAGGAACTCGGGTGGAGCGCCTCGCTCTGCAGGGAGAGGATGTTTAGACATTTTTACCCGGTCCCTTCCTGGCCAGAAAGCGTCTCTCTCTGAAAGGCTCCAGAAAACACACCCAGCCCATTGTTACCCAGGCTCCGGGAAGGTGTCTGTGGTGGACATTCTGTGTAAACAGGAAGGCCTGGGGGGTGGGGGGCCTGGGGGCAGTGCAGGCCCGCAGAGGCCAGCACTGTTCTGGTGGACACCTCCTGTGGGCCTGGAGCCCTGGGGGCTACTTGGAGCAGTCATTATGGGACTCTTGGCCCGGCACCAATAGGCCCTTGGGGTGGCCTAGGGTAGAGGAAACTGTTCAGGCTTGCATCCTTATTGTCCCACCTTCTTCCTGAAATCCCTTTCTGCACTCCTCTTGGCTAGTGTTTTACTGCATCTGATTGGTCTGCACTCCTCCTAGTCAGTGTCCTATTCCATCTGATTGGTGTCCCTCCTAAGTGGTTTCAAATGGACTAGGTATGGATGGTGTCTTTGGGCGGGGTGGGGGGGGGTTGCAGGGGAACCTATGTGCACCCTGGTAGCTGGCAGTTAAGTAGCCTGGTTCCTTTCCTCCCTCCCTCCCTCCCTCCCTCCCTCCCTCCCTCCCTCCCTCCCTCCCTCCCTCCTTCCTTTTCCCTGCAGCTTTCTGCTGCCACACCCTCCTCTTCCTGTTGGGGAGAGCGAGCAAGCCCAGAACCAGCCTGGCAGCTCAAGCCACGACTGTCCACGAGGCCCAGCTGAAGAGGCCTCCTCCCAGTCCTAATCCCCTGCGTGGCACAGGTTACCCCTGGAGTCTCATGCTGAGAGGTCCCCTTTCCTCCCCCAGCCTGCACTCCTAGGCAGCAACTCTCCCTTGTGGTGGGCATGGCAGCCTGCACTGGTGAATGGGGACAGCTAGCTAGGAAGAACCCCCTGGGTTTTGTGGCAGCTGGCCCAGGATTCCCTAGTTCCATGTCCACGGGCTCATTTCACCTCATTCTGTCCATAGAAGGGGCATGGAGAAGCTGGAAGAATCTGAAAAGTGTATCCCCCTGGCCATAAGCCCTCAAGTTGTTCTCAGAGACCAAAAGGAAGGAGGAAAGGGGCCATAAGTGGGCCTTTCTAGGCCTGTCTGGCTTGCCCATTCTGGCCTGTCCTATATACCCATCTGGTTGCCTTGCCCTTCCCTGCAAAGTCTGTAGAGCTGAGGTGGACAGGAGCCAACTTGCACCTCTGTCTCTCTTGCTCTCAATCAGCAGGAGGGCATCTCTTGGTTGCACTAAGAGGAGATCCAGGGCTCAGCTTGGAGGGAGCAAGTCCTCCTGACCTTCACCTTGACCGATGGGTATGCCCTGGCTTTTCTCTCCCCTGATCTTTCCTTCTGTGGTCAGAACTCTTGCACAGGGCTACATACCTCTCTGCACTTCACTGATGGGGAAACTGAGGCTTGGGAATGGAATGGCTGGCCCAGGTTTTTTCCTCCAGGCGAGGCAGAAAGCCTGGTGATTCTCTAGATGTTCCTCCAGTGCTAGTGGACTGGCAGTGTTGCTTGGGCTGGAGTGGCCACAGGTCAAAGGAACTGGACTTTGGGGCACTTTCTGTCTTGGTGCCTCAGTTTCCTTATCTGCCTTGGACGGTGATAATGGCTTCTTGGACAGCTATAAGAACTTCAGGTTCTTATGGGCAGCTGGGTTTGGGTTTGTTTCTCTTGGGTGCACTCGTTTTCTCTTGTTCCCTTGTGCCCTCCCCCTCCTCGCCCCCCAGCCAGGCCTTCCCTGCACATGGAGGCCTTCCTTGGGTTCATGTTGGCATACGTAGCATCCACCTTGTCTCAGAGTGTACTGGCTAATAGAGCTGGTCTGCAGTACCCATCTTAGCCAGTAGGTGCCACCGCCATCTGGTTCCAGATTCCTTAAATTGGTGTTTTAAAGTTCAAACAAATGGTTTATTCCCACTTTGGTGAATGACAGAAGTCTCCAGTGAGTCAGTGGACAATTACTTTCCAGTGAACTCTGTCCCTTGAGTCAGACAGGACACTTGTGGCAGGCAGGCGGGGTGGACCTGCATAAATTGGATCCAGGGTCCCCTTGCCTACAAGGGGACGCAGGATGAAGTGCCAGGAGCTGGAGGATAGGGCCAGGCCGGGGTTCTGGGAGGGCCTGGTCCTGGCACAGGGACCTCCATGTCTCGAGCTAACATTGGCCCAACTGCTGGGGTTACCAGGGGCACACAGGCTGCGCTGCATTCAGGTTCACGATGCTGAGTGAGCATCAGGCCTGATCAGTGTCAGGTCATGGTGACAGTGGCATCCTAAGGCTGGTGACACGTCCCCTGACTGACCGCTCAGGGCTTCTTCCTGCACAGTGTGAGGCCAGGACATGGCCTCTGGAGTTCGGTGCAGGGTGGCGAGGTCTTCCTGGAGTATGGTGTGACGCAGCCTGGGGCACATGTGTTCATCAGAGCCATGCCTTATGCCAGTGTTCTGTGCAACTTACTGGAGGCGCATGTCATCTCCGACAAGCAAGGCAGCAGGAAGGACCGGGACTCTTCTGAACCTAGAAAGTCAAGGTCCGGAAGGGCGACTGAGCTTCCCAGAGCACCTGGCCTGTCGGCAGAGCTCGTGGCTGGTGCTTCTGGGTTCTGCTGTGCTCCTCCCTGTCTCCGTGGTCCCTGGGCTGTGGATTCACCACCTGGGAGCCTGGGGAGCCACTCGGGTGGATATTAATTGCTTGTTCTGGGCTTTGAAATCCTGCATGAAAGGCTGGCTTGTGGGAGGTCCCCGCCCCAACCTTGCTTTGTGGGCTGCTGGTCTCATGCCTGGTGCATGCCCGGGCCCTCGCCCATGTGGGAAGTGCCAGGTGCTCCCTTCCTCCTCTGGTCTCCTCTTGCTCCTGGAGCCCCATGAGACCCACTAAGGTCTGGAGCAGAACGCCTCTGGGACCTGGCACTTGAGCTGCCACTGCCAGGTACCTCTGCTGCCCTGGTAAGTAGGGCCTTGGAGTGGTCAGCTCGCAGTGCTGGTCCAGGCTCTGCACAGGCAGCTGTACGAACTCGGCCCTGCCTCCTCATCTGGAATGAACCTGAGTCCTCTGTGACCTGCCAGTCATGACTGGAGGGCGGGCTTATTCCGGACCTTCACCTCGAGCCCTCCTCCCACCCCTGGGGCACAGCTTTCTCTGGTGGTCAGGTCCTGGGACAGCAGCTCAACTCTTTTGTCTCCTGAGCGCAGCTGTCCTTGTGTTTCCTGCCTTACCTTGGCCAGGCCAAGCCAGGGCCAGGATGGACAGTGCCTGGGTGGGGAGCTCCAGCCTCGTGTGGCCTGGACACCTTCGGGGTGGGTTCTCCCGCAGGCCTGATGGTAGCCTGAGTGAGCAGGCTGGGCTGGGAGCCTGGAGGCTGCTCTGACCCAACCTCCTGCTGATCTTGTCTTACAGACTTCTCCACCCAGGTGAACTCCTCATCCCTCAACTCCCCAACGGGCCGAGGCTCCATGGCTGCCCCTTCGCTGCACCCGTCCCTGGGCCCTGGCCTCGGCTCCCCACTGGGCTCCCCCGGGCAGCTGCACTCACCCATCAGCACCCTGAGCTCGCCCATCAACGGCATGGGCCCACCCTTCTCGGTCATCAGCTCCCCCATGGGCCCGCATTCCATGTCGGTGCCCACGACACCCACCCTGGGCTTCGGCACGGGCAGCCCCCAGGTGAGTGCTGGGCTGGGGTCTCGGGAGGATGCGTGTGTATGTGTGGAGGTGTTGTTCCTGCCTGAGGAAGCTGCTCCCTTTCATCCCTAGAAGAGGCTCAGAGCATGCGGGTCTAAGCCAGGCCCTGAGCCAGCTCAGCTGGCCTCAGTTCTGACGGACCTGAGCCCAATAACCCGGGAGGTTATTGTCAGCCGAGCCTCCCCGCAGCGGGTCCTCTAGCTGGCCTGGCTCTGCTCTGCACTGTGGCGTTCTGTGCGGGCTCGGCTTCTCTTCTTCAGGGTCTGCTGTCACCCTGCTGGCCCCTTGGCCACGTGGGCTGGGTCCTCCCCACTTGGCCCATACTGGGTCTGGCGGTGGCAGTGGCCCTGGCCTGCAGTGAGGTGTGTCTAGGCTTGATGCAGAGCTGGCTGGCTCCCGGTGACGGTCTGCGGGGTTCCCTGGGCTCCCAGAGGCTCTGTGGGTGCTGGTCCTCTGCAGAACTTGGAACCCTGGCCCACACGTGGGGCTCACTGAAGCTCTCCCAGTTGGGCTGGACTTTCTGGGGTATTTGTGGACCGGGAAGCAGTTGTCTGGTGGGGCGGGCCTGGCCCAGGTCTCACCAAGGGTGCTGGAGGACCTTGTCTCCTGTTTGCACTCTAGGCCCTGAGTGCCTGTTGTCAGAGCCTGGGTAGAGACAGGCGCCCTGCCCCTGTGGCTCCTGGTGGACATCTACCTTGAAGGGCACTGTGTCCTCCGTGGGCAGGCCTGCCCTCGAGAGCTCCGTCTGCCCCTCCTCTCTCCTGGCTTTGGCTTTCTGTCTGGGCTGCAGCTCTAGGGTGGGACGCAGCGGCCTGCCACCTTCTCATTGTGGCACACCCAGGAGGGACTTGCGTTGTGGGCCCGGCCCAGCCTTGCTCAGCCGTCAGCTGCCTCTGTGTGGAACCCCGGCCCGCGTGCCCGATGAGCCACGCCCTCCCGGGCAGCGCCTCCCTGATCCTGCAGGGTCCCTTCAGCTGTGCAGAAGCTCAGTGGCTTTCAAGGCCAGCTCCAGCCGAGACCCTTTGCCATGGGGACTCAAGGTGTGGAGGGGTTGGGGGCCCTGCCCATGTATAGGAAGTTCTCTGTCCCCTTTTGTGTCACCTGCCCTCTGTAAGCAAGTGGAAGGCCCGAGGGCTGGCATGAGGGAGGTCTGGCCACCTCTGCGGCCCCCCCCCCCCCCCGCCCCGCTCTGAGAGGGCAGGTGAAAGCATGGCCTCCGCTGTCCCCAATCTTCATTGCTAGCACTACTGGCTGTCAGAGAACCGTGTAGCGTCTCACTAGTCCTGGTACAGCCAGGCCACAGTTGCCAGTACAGTACCTAAGCTGTCCCTTGTCTCCTGTTTGGTCTGAGGGCTGCAGCAGGATGGGCCCCGAGTGTGCTCCTCACAGGGCCCCAGAGCCTGTCTGGCCACACAGGGCTAACGCTGGGTGTCTCCCCCGAGAGCCCTGTGGGGTTCGGCCGGCTCCAGCTAGGAAGCACTTCCAAGGTGAGGCGTCAAGGCCCGTGATCCAGCAGAGCCTTCCGCTGTGAGGCCAGCTGGGCCCCTGGGGCCATGGTGGGAGGCCACGTGTGCTGGGTGAGGGGAGGGAGGGCTGGCACGGCTTCATGTGCTGGCAGCGCTGGCGCTGCTGGAAGACAAAGCTGGCTAGGAACCGGGGGTGGAGTGGGGCAGTGGGCAGGTCCTGGGTCCGGGTGCCTTGTGGTGGTGGTAGGCCCCTGAGGGAGACCACTCGGGCCTGGAAGAGTGTGGGTTGTGGTGGGTGTGGAAGAGAGGACCTGGTCAGGCACTGGTGATGCTGGAACCAAAATAAATGCCAACAGTATGAACAGGGGAATGGAACAGCCTCACCCAGCCTTGCAGGGGCGCTTCAGGCTCCAGGGAAGGGCAGGCACAGTGCTGGGTCTCTTGAGGCAGATTGGTTGTACAGCAGTTCCGGGTGGATGGGTTCCACACACGGGATAGGCTTCCCTATGTTTCTTATAGTTCCAGCTCCTGGCTGTCAGCTTTCAGCTAGGACACCCTCCTTCCGGCCCACCTCCCTGCCCTGCACAGTCTGCTGTCTGTCAGAGGATGACATGGTAGCCACTGGAGAAGCCTGGAAGAGTCCATGGGTGGCCCCAGGCCTGCAGTGAGGATGGCACTCCAGCCCCTGGCCTTGGCTCTATCTTGATGTCATTCTCTGGCCCAGCTCCAGACTAAAGGTCTACTAGGATGCAGGTGCCAGTACCTGACAGTGCCTGCTCCTGGCCACAGCTTCAGGCTTCTTTCTGTGTTCCCCCCTCCCTTTCCTCCCTCCCCCCTCCCACTCCCCTCTCTCCCCCCTCCCTCCCTTCCATCTTTCCTTCCTTCCTTCTCCTCCCCCGCCCACCCCTCGTGGTTGTGGGGTTTGAACTCTGGGCCTGGGCGCTGTCCATGTGCTCTTCAGCTCAAGGCAAAGCACTCTACTGCTTGAGCCACAGCACCACTTCCGGTTTTCTGGAGGTTTATTGGAGATAAGTGTCTCACAGACTTCCCTGCCTGGGCTGGCTTTGAACCCCGATCCTCAGATCCCAGCCTCCTGAGTAGCTAGGGGATTACAGATGTGAGCCACTGGTGCCCGGCTTCTTTGTTTATTGGTGGTCCTGAGGCTTGAACTCAGGGCCTGGGCACTGTCCCTGAGCTTCTCTGTGCTCAAAGCTAGTGCTCTACCACTTGAGCCACAGCACCACTTCTGGCCTTTTCTGTATATGTGGTACTGAGGAGTTGAACCCAGGGCTTTGTGCATGCTAGGCAAGCACTCTACTATTGAGCCATGCTCCCAGCCCTCCAGAGTCCTTTAGTCCCCACTTCTTGGTAGTGAAGGGGTAATGAGGGCCCTGTCTGGTGCACCTTCCTCCCTGGAAGCCAGCTCCCTCTGCTGCCTCTTGGAGGCCCAGGGACAACTGCAGCCGCAGTTTGCTTTCCACCCTGAGTCAGCATTGTGGGTCACCTGCTGTGCCCTCAGGGGACGTTCCCGTGGGGGGGGGGGCTGTGTTCATGCCCAGGAGACCTGGCGTGCTTGGTGACTTCCAGAGCCACGTGAGGATGGCCAGGCAGGATTCTGGTCCGGGGCCTTCTGCTCTTCTGTGCATTCTTAGCCTCAGTGTTGTGGGGGCTCCCCTCAGCTCAGAGGCCGTGGGCCTGCTCCCTAGGGCCCCTGGGCCCTGCATGAGACCCAGGTGAACGGTCTGTACCCCACCCTCTGCCTTGCTTAGCACAGGGACTCACTCTGTCCTGCTGCTCCGCTGCCTGGGACCCTGGCACCCTGTTGGAGCTTTGGGGTGTTGGTCTGGGAAAGGGGAAGGCCCCGCAGAGTGGGGGACGTGTGTGGATCTGGCATCAAGGCTGCTGTGGATGCCCATAGGCCACCCTGTCCTGATTCCCCGCCCGCCCCAGCTCCCCCGGGGCTCCTGGACCTCTCCTCCTGTGCTCCCCGCACACCGAGTGGTCTTGGGCCTGGCTGCAGCCCACTTCTGGACGACAGGATGTTAATCAGCCGCTCAGAGCCTCACCGCCCGGCAGCCCTGAGTTCCCAGGCCGAGGAAGGACTGGGAGCCGGCTGAGAATCCATCCAGGCGCCCCAGCCTTGTGAAAGGAGACTTGGGGGCTCTTTCTGCTTTGGTGGTGTCGAGCTCTTCCCTTCCTGTCCCATGAGGAGGGGCGCTGGGGCTCGGGGACTTGAGGAAGGAAGAGTGAGGTTCCCCTTGCAGGGGCGCCTCCAGGCTACTTCAGGGCGCGATGGCAGCCGGATGGCGGCACAGCCCTCCGCATGCCTTTGTCAGGGGTTTGCGGAAGTGGGGGGGGGCACTGCCCAGCGGGGGCCCTGCGCCCTTGCAGATGGGCTGCTGCCGGCGGGATGCGGCCGTCTGCCTCTGGCCCCGTGCTGACTGCAGAGCTGGGCTGGAGGCTGCGGAACCAAAACTGCTGCGTCATTGCACGCTGCAGCCGTTGCCAGGGCAACCGGGTGAGTTTCCCACGCTTGCCCTGGCTGCTGGTGGGCGGGGACGGGGCATACAGGGGCCAGGGTGTCCAGGCCAGAGACCACTGTCCTGCAGGGTGGTGGTGACATGTGTGGCCCCGGGGCGCGCCTGGCCCAGCCCCAGGTGCCTGGGCCTGCTGTTCTCTTCCGTGGGCTTCGGGCCCCGAGCCCCTGTCCTGTGGAGTGACCAGAGCTGCCAGCAGGCCTGACTCATGTGGGTGATGGGCAGGGGTGGAGCCAAGGGGTGCTGCGGCGGTGATGGCAGTGGAGGTGGGGTATGCTGCTGTGTGAGGTCTCTAGCATCGCCAGCTTCTCAGCACCCCCTGGCAGGGCGCGCTCCGCAGGCAGAGGCCCCGCTGCACTTTGGCCTTGTGCCCCGGAGGAGGCTCTATGCAGTGGGGCTCAGCTGTACTTCCCTTGCCATGGGGTGTCGAGTGGATGTCCCCATCGTCACCTGCCCACGGCTGACCCGGCCCTGTCATCTCTCTGCAGCTCAACTCGCCCATGAACCCCGTCAGCAGCAGCGAGGACATCAAGCCCCCGCTGGGCCTCAACGGCGTCCTCAAGGTCCCTGCCCACCCCTCAGGAAACATGGCATCCTTCACTAAGCACATCTGTGCCATCTGTGGAGACCGCTCCTCAGGTGGGGCCACCCGGGCTGCCGGGCCGGGGTTGGCGAGGCCCTGCTCTACGCCATGAGCTGGGTGCAGTGAGGCAGGGCCCTGGGTAGCCCTTCCCCTGCCCCTGGAGCAGGCTTAGTGCTCAGGGCCACTCCAGTGTGTTCGGGAATGGTACAAGACCAGGGTAGGCAAGGTGGACTGGAGGCTTCGGGAGAGGAGGCCTCTGTGGATGGCCTCTCTGGGCTGAGCAGAGAGCCCCTGGCGTTGTCACCATAGCCCAACAGAGAAGAATGACACATGTCCTCTTCCAGGGCACAAGCAGGGCTACACCATGTGCAGCGCCCGTGGAGCAGCGAGGTAGCAGGGAGGGGCGAGGCGGGGGCAAGCCTGGGCCCCGGCTGGCATCTGGAGAGTGCAAGGCCTGTCAGCCACCCACGCCCTCGGGTCACACACTCACTCCCTCCCCCCTCCCGCACCCCCAGGCAAGCACTACGGGGTCTACAGCTGCGAGGGCTGCAAAGGGTTCTTCAAGAGGACCGTGCGCAAGGACCTGACCTACACCTGCCGGGACAACAAGGACTGCCTGATCGACAAGCGCCAGCGGAACCGGTGCCAGTACTGCCGCTACCAGAAGTGCCTGGCCATGGGCATGAAGCGGGAAGGTAGACCTGCCTGCCGCCTGCCGGGGAGGGCGCTGGCCAGCACGCTCCGCTGGGCAGACACGCCGCATCCCGAGTACTGTGGTGGGCTTTGGTCAAGTTTATCCGCCTCCCTGGCAGTACTCCCTCCCTCCAGGCAGCTCCTCTGCGGGGTCCCCAGGCCTGTGCCCACACACGGGCCCCCAGAGCTTGCTTGTGTGAAGGGCCAGCCCTTCCCTCTCCCTCCCAATTGAATCTCTACCATGCACCCGCCGTATGTTAGGCCTCTTTTTTTTTTTTTTGGTCAGTCGTGGGGCTTGAACCTCTGGGCCTGGGCGCTGCCCCTCAGCTCTTCAGTTCAAGGTGAGCGCTCTACCACTTGAGCCACAGTATCACTTCTGGTTTTCTGAGTGGTTTATTGGAGATAAGAGTCTCACTGACTTTCCTGCCTAGGCTAGCTTTGAACCACGACCCTCAGATCTCAGCCTCCTGAGTAACGAGGATGACAGGCATGAGCCACCAGCACCTGGCTCATTTAGGCCTCTTTACAAAGGAGACAAGACCCTGATCCCCAGGCACCTGCAGCTTCTTTCCTTGCCATCAGGAGGTGAGGCGTTAGCCCTCGGCCTGGGAGTGGCAAGTCCAGGGCCCAGCATGTGGGTTGTGGCCAATAGTGGGCAAGCATCCTGGCCAGAGGTACAGGGAAGGCCAGGCTGGAAGGGCCCCTTACGTTGTCACTGAGCGCCAGCAGGCTGAGCATGGGTGTGACACCGTCCTCTTCTGAGACACGGTGGCCCCAGGAGGGAGCAGGGAAGGAGAGGGCACTGGGTGGTGAGATGGGGAAAGAGGGTGTGTTGTGGGTTTCTCCGGCTGCCCGGCTGCCAGGCAGGATGGCCAAGGAGGCCTTTGCAAGATGGCTCATTATTGCTGGGGTGGTGAACAGAGAACATGGTGGGGGGGGGGGGCTCCCGAGCAGATGCTCCTGGGCTCTGTTGCCTTCCGAGGCAATGGTGGGCCGCTGCTGGCTGCAGCTCCAGGATGGCCGGAGGCTGCTTTATTCAGAGTGCCCAGCACTCATGTTGTCACTGACCTGAGGTTACAGACGCTGGTCAGGCTGTCCAGGTGGATCAGGGTCCCGTCTGCACACTCCACCTTGCCAGCGCGTGATGGCTCTGCATTCAGTGTGCGTGCGTCGGCTGTGGGCCGAGTGAGGTTTAGCCTGACTGGATTTCAACTGTATTCTCGTGCTGCGGGAATCTCCCCCGTGCATCCTCTGTCACGGCTGCACGTGTGGCCAGCGTGTCCTCCACCTTCCCACCCACCCCTGCTGGGCCTCCAGCCGCCGCCGCTGCCCCTTGAGGGCCAGCTTGAGTGCAGGCCAGCTGCTAGAGCTCCCTTCACATTCATTTCATTCCCTTTTTGTGCGTTCTCGGCCGCCTCCATTCTGCTTGAGAAACCCAAACTTCAACCTGAGCAGGCTCCCGGGTGGCAGGCCTGAGCTCCCTGGTGGCAGAGCTCCTATGGGGTCATCTAGGTGGCGACGGTGTTATCTGCAGAGTGGCTGGGGGTGCAGAGTTCTTGGTCTCCAGCGACTCTGAGCTGAGCCAGTGGGGCCGAATGCTATGTGCAGGTGCTGCCAGCCAGGCCTTTCTGGCCAGGTCTGTGTTTTGTTGAGCACTTAGTATTGGTTTAGGCAGTGCAGGTGAGGGAACTGAGGTTCAGCAGGATAGGGTCTTGTCTGAGGTCAAGTGCAAGGCTGTCACCTGGCCTCTGGCATCAAAAGGGCAGATGGAAGGAGTGACCCAGCAGGGAGAGCATGCCACCCCACTCTCCAGATTCACACGTTCCCCAGGGCTAGGGAGGACTGGGGGCCATGGCCAGTGAGTGTCTAAGGAGCTTGGCTTCAGCCCCGAGCCTGCCCTCCGTCAGAGCTCACTGTTGGTGCTGGTTTGGGGCCAAGCACGGGGGCATGGGCTCCTGTGTTCGAGAGTGACCATCAGAGAGCCAGGCGGCCCTGGCTACAGCCAGAGCTGGGGCACTGGCCTTTGAGGCAGTTTGGGGGGCGGGCACGGCTGTGGTAGAAGGAGGCTGAGGCTGCATTTCCCTGAGGCCCACTCATCTCCAAGTGCCCCACGACTGCCCGTGGTGCCTGAGGCGTGGACGGTGCCCTCCTTCATCGCAGTGGAGTGGGGTGAGCTCAGGGCTGGGGGCCCAGGGTCGCTGGGATTGCCGAGGCCCCACCCCCATGCCCACCAGTGACAATCTTCGTACACACTTGCTCTGCAGGGCCACTGCCCCTCCCCCATCTAGTCCTGGGCACAGTTTACCTGCCGTGCCAGTGCCCTGCCACACTTCATAGATAGAGAGCAGCGTGGGGGGGGGGGCAGGAGGAGGCCTGGCTGCACCCGTGTGCCTGGTCCACCCGGCATTGCTGTGTGGACCCATCTCCTGGCAGCATGCAGCCCTGCAGACCTGATTTATGGACTGTTAGATAAACACCTGAGCCCGTCCAAGCGCCCATCCCCTTTGTCTGCAGCTGGATTTATGAGCCGTGAACATGCAATAAAAGCCCTCCTACGCAGCACAAACACAAAACTCAGCCCCATGGACGGCGGAGCAAGAGGGGTCCCTGTGCCCAGTGGGCCCTGCCACTAGTGCCCGCCCGCAGGCCTGCCACACGCCCCAAGGCCTGCAGCGAGCAGTACACTCACTCACGGGCTGGACAACCCCAGTGCAGCAGGACAGGTGGGTGGGGTCTGGGGGCCTGGGCCTGCCCCTGAAACCCAGCCCCTCCCCTCTGTTCTCAGGCCAGCCACTACATGGAAGGCTCCTGGAGCACTGGGCGGGGTCTTGGCCGCGTGGCAGTCAGGAAGTCTGGAGAAGTTCTGGGGCCAGGCTGCCCATCCAGGCCAGGGGTTTGGTCCAGGGAGTGCTGGTTCTAGTCCTACTGAGTACCAGGCCTGTGGCCCTGCCTTGAGCCAGACCTTCAGCCTTGCTGAGTGTCAGGCCTGTGGCCGTGCCAGTGCCGCCTTGCTGTGGGTAGCCGGCGGCTGGTGTGCCGCCACCCTTGCTCCTGCGTTGGTCTCATCATGCCGCACAGTGACAAGGGGGTGGAGCTTGGGGTCGGCTGACCACAGCAGGAGCCCTGCCCTGGGAGGGGCGTTCTGGCTCCAGGCAGGTGGGGCCCCCACCCTGCTGGCTGATGAGGGAAGCTGCAGCTGATAGCATCTGTGTGGCAGGGCCTGTACCTGCAGGCAGCCAGGGCTCGTTCAGCAGCATTCCCCGGTGGGGGGGTGGGTAGTGCCCCAGTGAGGCCCTGGCCCCTCGCCAGGTGGGGCCCGGGCCTGTAGTCTGGGCAGGCAGTGGCAGGGCTGTGTGGGGCCTGCGTGTGGGCCTGGGAGGGCTGGAGGGGGCACCTAGTATACCCTCTTTTCTGGGCTTCTTCCCTCAATACCTTTCCTGGCTGTGTGTGTGTGTGTGTGTGTGTGTGTGTGTGTGTGTGTGTGTGTGTGTGTATGTGTGTGTGTGTATGTGCGTGTGCGTGTACATGCACAGGTACAGATATGGATGACCCCACTGGCAGAGCCCAAAGCAGAGGTCTCAGGGTGCGGGTGCCCCTGTGCGTGTGGACATCGCTGCTGGGCTCTGCCACCGTGACACCCCAAGTCCTGCCTGCACCCTACTCTGAGGAAGGGTCTCAGTGGCCTTTCTACCCCAGTGCCATGTTGCGAAGGAGTCTGGTGGGACTGCTTAGCATCCTGGATCCTCCCCCGGGGCCCGCAAAGCCTAGACTGCAGGTCAGGCAGTGTCTCAGACTCCTGGCCTCCTCCGCCACGGCCTCCTCCACCTCCTCCACCTCGCTCCCGGCCTGGAAGGATAACGAGGCCCTGTATTTACAGACGCCTCCCGCCTGAGGCTTCCTGGCGCCAGTGGAACATAAGTCAAACATGACTGCGTCTAAAAGGTGATTGAGCTGGCAAAACATAAATCCGCGGGCCCTCTCCTGCCCCTCCGCCGTCTATAAATAAAACGATAATATTTATAATGATGCCGCTCGGAGCGGCTGGGGCCTTCACGGCTTCAAAGTGCTTCACAAAACATTTGCTAATTAATTCTCCGCTGCCCCCGCAGAGGAGGCAGGTGTCGAGGGCCCCCTCGCCAGCTCAGCTCCAGACACCGGGGAGGCCGGCAGTCTGCAGGCTCGAGCTTAGGGCTTGCTTCCTCCCAGCTCCTGAGCCTGGAACTATCTCTAAGTGGGAGAAAATCTCTGGGGCTAGGCTAGTTAGGCAGGGACCGTGGGTCCTGTGCAGATGTTCCCTCTAGGGACATCTTGAAGGCAGATACCACCCCTGGCTTTTCACTGATGAAGAAGTTAAGGCTCAGAGAGGTTGAGGACGTTGCCTGGGGACACACAGCTGTTAGAAGGACTGCCTTGGGGGGCCTTGGGCAGTCAGCCCAGTACTTTAAGCTTTTCATTTTTGTGCAGGCTCAGTCACGTTCCTTTGCTCTCTGAGCCTCAGTCCCTCCCTTCCCCCCCCCTCCCCCCCAGGCATGTTGAGTCTGCCTGTGCTCATCAGCAGGGTTCTGGCCCTGGGTTTCGGCATTCTGCCTGGCGTCCTCCTCGGACACAGCCCGCCTGACTCTGGCTGCAGTCTGGCTGCCTCGTGTGATGGAGCTGCCTAGCACCGAGGGCCCGGCTCACCATGCCCACCTCGTTTGCTGCGCCTAGAGGCGTCTCCACCCAAGATGCATGCCCCCCGCTCGCTGAGCCGTGGCAGCCCAGCTGGCCAGGGCTAGAGCCTGGCAACCTCCCCAGCCCCTGTGAGCTTGGCGCCATCTGCCTGCAGCCTCGGCCCCTCTACACCCCCAGCTTCCACCTGCTGTCAGTTTTTCTAGAAGAACCAGGCTAGCAGAATGCTGGCTGCAGGTCTCCGCCACATTGCTTGGCCAGCTGGTGTGCTCTGGAGGCGCTGCCCTGGCCTCCTGTCAGGGCTCGTGGGGGTGGGAAGCCCCTTGCACCAGCAGGGAGCCGAGTCTTGAGGATCACAGCCCCAGCACAGGATGCCCTTTTGTGGGCTCAGGAGGGAGGCAGGGGAGCCCAAGGCCTAGAGAGGCCACCTTCCACCCTGGACTGAACTGCAGCTGTGATAGAGGGCCTGGGGGACAGTACCATGTGCCTGGCCTCCTGAGGCTAGAAGCGGGAAGGATGGTTAAGAATGAAGGCTGAAGCCGGGCGTCAGTGGCTCATGCCTGTAATCCTAGCTACACAGGAGGCTGAGATCTGAGGATCGTGGTTCAAAAAGCCAGCCTGGGCAGGAAAGACCTTGAGACTGTTATCTTCTATAAACCATTAGAAAACCGGAAGTGGTGCTATGGCTCAAGTGGTAGAGCTCTCGCCTTGAGCTGAAGAGCTGAGGGACAGCGCCCAGGCTGAGTTCAAAAAAAAAAAAAAGGGAAGGAAGGCAGGCAGGCAGGCAGGCAGGCAGCTCCCAGGAGAGGCTGCCACCCACCTGTGTGGCCGGGAGGCTGCCACCGCTTCTCGCCCTGGCCTCACCTCTTGTCCGTATCCCGCCTGCTGCCCCTCGTATTTCAGTGTGCCCCTCCCCTGGGAAGGCCAGGGGCTGGGGGCCTGAGTGGGCAGCCCCACGAGGCAGGGAGGTGGCAGGAAAGGGTCCAGCCACTCATGGCTGGTAGCCCAGGAGCTGCTGTTGGTGCCACGGGGACCTGTGCAGTTCTGGATGAGCACTGCCCGCGGCTGCTCACCATCAAACCCTCAGGAATGGCCGGGCGGCAGTGCTCAGCCTGTCATCCTGGCTACTCAGGAGGCTGAGATCTGAGGATTACAGTTCAAAGCCACTCCCGGCAGGAAAGTCCGTGAGACTTTTAACCTGTGAGCCACCAGAAAACCAGAAGTGGTGCTGTGGCTCAAGTGGTAGAACACTTATTTTGAGCCGAAGATCTCAGAGACAGCGCCCAGGCCCAGAGTTCAAGCCCCACGACTGACAAAAAAACAACATACCCTTAGGAAGGCCAGGCTGGGGAGGAGGGAGCCTCTCACTACTCCCAGCCCGGCCGGGGTGGCGGGAGCTGTGGAGGAGGAATTGGCATGCGCTGTCCTTGTCCACGACTGATGGGGAAGGGTCGGGGCTTGCAGGGAGTGGCAGGAGGAGCCTTCGCTGGGGATGGGGGTGTCGAGCTGGGCCAGACCCAGGTGGCTCCGTTGTGTTCCTCTCCTGTCTCTGCCATTCGCCTGCTTCGACAAGGCCCCGCCCAAGCCTCGGATCCCCTCTCTGCCAGGGAGGCCGTGACAGCGGCCGGTGGGGGTGGCATTGGAGGACCGTGCAGGGCAGGGCTGTGGGGGGCAGTGGGGGAAGGCAGTGGCACAAGGCCCGAGAACACGCCGAGTGGAGCCTCAGCTCCCGGTCATGGTGTGCACGGGGCAGGACTGCAGGACAGGTACAGCTCGGGAAGAATGTGTGTGGACCCCAGCCTGCCCTGACACACCAGTGCTAGCTGTTCCAGGTGGGCCAGCTAGGAGAGGGGTGGCCTCCGGTACTGCCTGGGTTGTGAGAGGCGGTACTGCTTCTGCCTGGGCTGGTGGGCATCCTCTGGAGGGTGGCAGCTGCCGTCTGAGGTGCTCCACAGAGGTGTCCACATCGGGGCTGACCGTCGCTGGGCTGGAGTCAGCCCGTCAGAGTCTCTGCCTGGCAGGATGCACCCCCGGGCTGTGGACTGGGCAGCCGTGGTGTGGCTGTGGTTTGCCGCACGGCGGTCCAGGCCCTAGAGCTGGACTGCTCACAGGCAGGTTGGCAGGCTTTTTGGTGCTGGTGCCTCTGTGTAGTGCGCACAGTCCACAGTACCAGACAGGCTGCGGGGAGCGCCGCGGGGCCTGCCGGTGGCTGGGGTGGCGGTGGTCCCTTCTCTGCTTTGGCCACAGCCCAGCCTGGGGGGTGCAGGGACGGGGTGCAGGCTGGCACAGACTCTGAGCCCCTGTGCCCTTGCCCTGGCTTGTGGCCAGCGTGACCGTCTAGTTCCTGGCTGTAAGTTGCTCTGCTCAGGCACACGTCCTTTCCTTTCCCTGAATCTGCAGTCCTCAGCCATTTCTGTTTCAGTCTCATCACGTCTTTTAGGAAGCCTCCCTGGGTTTCCCTAACACAGGCAGCCTGGTGGGCACCCCGTGACCCCTGTCAGCTGAACTTGGACAAAGGCCGTCTGCCCTGGCCCTGGGCGGCTTTGTGTTCTGCACACAGAACACAAGGGGCCCGCCGTGGAGGGGGGCTCTGGGCGTGTCTCCCTCCTCCGGGCCTGGTGGGGACACGGGGGCTGTGGCCGGCTGGCCCGGCTGCGGGTGACAGCGCCTCCCGTGTGCAGCTGTGCAGGAGGAGCGGCAGCGGGGCAAGGACCGGAATGAGAACGAGGTGGAGTCCACAAGCAGCGCCAATGAAGACATGCCCGTGGAGAAGATTCTAGAAGCTGAGCTGGCCGTTGAGCCCAAGACCGAGACCTATGTGGAGGCAAATATGGGGCTGAACCCCAGCTCGGTGAGTGCCGGCCTTGGTAGGTGTGAGTACCCCTCCTGCCTCAGTGTCTCCACTTTCCTCCCTCTCCTCCCTGAGAGTCCGATGCCTCGGCGTCCTGGTGCGGCTGTGCCGCCTCTGCTCGGCTGGGTGATCTGACCAGACTGCCCTGGCCCTCCTGGCTACAGCTCTGTGGGCTCAAAGCCCTGTTGGTTTCCTTCCTTTGTGGTCGCTAGCTGGGCTGGTGTCTTCCCATGAGGCTATGCGGTAGTGCCTGGGGGTAGTGCCCCTTTTCACAGCTCTGGATAGCAGCTGTCTCCTACCTCCCCCCCAACCTCCCACAGTCTAGGTTATCTACCCATGAGGCCCTGGGCCAGATCACCGCCCTCCCACTACCCCCTCTTTCCTGTGGTGGGACACCAGGGCCCCAGAACCTTGGCTGTGCTCGTGCATGGGGTTCAGGCAGCCTCTTCCTCCAGGGAATGGCTCTCGGCTCTGGGAGGACACCTCCCCACAGGGCATCCTGCAAACCCTGCCCTCTGTGACCCACACCTGCCACCTCGAAGCCCTGGAGGGGAAGGCAGAGTGGGCAGGTGGAAGGTTCCAGAAACCATTATGTGGGACAGTCCTCTGTTATCCTGTTTTGCCAATATTCCCGGAAAGCTCAGGTCTTCAGAGCTTCGTCTAGGGCAAGGGCACCGTGCCCTGGGGAAGAAGCTGTGCCCCCCAGGGATGTGTGCTCCTGCTTTGGCAGTGCCCAACTTGCCGCTGAATGACAGCCTTGTGTCAGCCTCGGTGCGCCTTCCTGAAGCCCTACCAAGGCTGGGCCTGGCTCTGGGCTCCGAGCTCGGGGCTCGGGGCTCCGGGCTCGGGGCTCAGTAGACAGGCTGAGGGCCAGGGCCTGGGCCCAGCCTGGGTGGTCCTGTTGACACTCCTCCTCGCCCAGCTGGCAGCTCATTAGATGCTTGCTGTTAGATGAGCTCAGAGGGTGAAAAAGCCCTTGCCTGAGGCAGAAGCCCGCACCGCCCTTCCCCTCCCGGAGACCCCTCCAGGCCTGGTCTGCTGGGACCACGCCTGAGCCTCACACTTGCTGTGGTCACTTCTTCCCCAACACTGTCTGTCATGGATGGACAGCCCAGGTGATTATGCCTGCAGAAGCCCCGGCCAGCCCAGGCTCTTCAGGGCCCTTCCCATTCCTGGTGACAGGCCAGGCCCCACAAGAGCTTTCAAGGTGTAGCCAGTTGGTGACCAGAGAGAAGACCACGTCTGTTGGTTAAGTACCAAGCACAGCTGGATTTCCCCTCGTCCCTCAGTCCCCATGGCTGTCCTGGGCCCCCCTGGGCTCTTGCCTTTCAGGCTTCCCTGAGGCAGGTGGACAGGCCAGGAGGATGCTGACTGAGCCAGAGGACCAGAGGGATGGGGCAGCCCTGGGCGTGGCCAGCCTGGGCAGGGCCGAGGCTGCTCTGTCAGGAGGTGTGGAGGGGCGTGGCCAGCCTGGGCAGGGCTGGGCCATCAGGAGGGGTGAGGGTGGAGAGAGGAGCTAATGAGGCATCAAGGGGCTTCCAGCTGAAGGCCTTCACCTGCCTGCCCACCCTCGTGACTTGGTTCCCTCAGGCTCCAGGCTCCCCTGTTCTTCTCGCCAGGAGGCTGGGGGTCTTTTTATTGTGAAAATACCATACAGAGGGTTACAATTACATGGGTTAGGTAATGAGTACATTTCTTATCAAGCATTGTTGCCTCCTCCTTTGTTAACCCTTCCCATCCCTTCCCACCCCTCCCCGCCCCCCGCAAAGTTGTAAAGTTCGTTTTTCGACATAATGACTTATACATTTCATTGTTGCAATGGGTCCACCTGTATCCCTATTTAAACGATTTGTTTTTTCCCTTCTCCTCCACAAACTTAACCAACATTAAATACAGTGAAAACAGGGGTTATACCGTGGGGGAGGGACATACAAAGCAACAAAGAAATCATCTTATAAATATATTAGAAACACTCGCAAGAAAGAAAAAAAACATTTAAATACTTACCTTGGGGTTCATTTCACCTAACATGAACTCATCTGACCTTTTCTGCTTGTCTCAGACATATACTAGTTATTGCAAATAAGGGAAACCATGGGACCTATGTTTCTTTGTGCCTGCTTTACTTCACTTAATATAATTTTTTCCAAGTCTTTCCATTTTCTAACAAATGGGCCCAATAAATAAGTGGGCTAAAGACTTAAAGAGAAACTTCTCTGAAGAGGAAAGAAGGATGGCCAATAGACACGTGAAGAAATGCTCAACCTCTCTAGCAATAAAAGAAATGTAAATCAAAACAACATTGAGATACCACCTCACCCCAGTTAGAACGGCTATAATCAAGAACTCTAATAACAGATGCTGGAGGGGATGTGCACAGAAGGGAGCCTTACTGCATTGTTGGTAGGAATATAAACTTGTTCAACCACTTTGGAAAGTAGTATGGAGGTTCCTCAGAAGACTCCATATAGAGCTCCCCTATGACCCAGCAATCCCACTTTTGGGCATTTACCCAAATGATCACAAACAAGACCATACTAAAGCTACCAGCTCAACTGTTTATAGCAGCATTATTTACCATAGCGACAATATGGAACCAACCCAGATGCCCCTCAGCAGATGAATGGATCAAGAAAATGTGGTGTATATACACAATGGAATTCTATGCTTCCATCGAGCTTTCTACTTGAGCCCTTTGCTGGCCCTTCACACAGGGCTGGTGTTTAGACTGCGTGTTGTTGCCTGGCAGGTGGTTTCTGTCTTGGAGTCCTTTGGTGGGAGTTCTCTTCCTTCTGCTCTGCTTCCCTCGCTGCCGCTGCTGTTCCCAGAGCACATGAGGGGTCCCCACGCCCCGATGCCTCATGGCGCTGGGCGCTGGACCATGCCAGCAGCCCCAGGAGTTGGGAACCCCTCCGCCCCACCCCCCCTGCCCTGCTGAGAAGCCTGACTTGTTTTCTCCTCCATGAGAGTAGCTGAATTTTTTGGAAGGCTTCCCACCTCTGCATGGAGCCTGGCATTTCACCACTTTCCTGCCCTATGCCGTCCCCAGGGAAGCCGTCTCAAGGTGACTGGCAGCGTTGAGGGGCTGGCTCTGCCCCGGCTCCCGGCCTGCCTGCTGTGTGGCCTCCCTCATGTCTGTCCCTTGGCCCCGCCCCCCAGAGCTGGGCAGCGAAGGGGTCCTGCGGTCTGTGTGAGCTTCCTGTGGCCGCTGGAGCGAATCCTCACAGGCTCGCTGGCTTCATCCACACAGATTGCATGATCTTGAGGTGAGACAGCATGAGTTGGTCTCGGTCTCAGGTCCTCGTGAAGGCCAGCTCTGCTACAGCTCTGGGGAGGACCGTGTTCCTCAGTGCCTGGAGGCCGTGTTCCTCGGCCTGAGGTCCCTGCTCTGTCCATCTTCAAGCCAGCAGCGTCTCCTCCCCTCTGGCCTCTGCTTCTGCCACCATGCCCCTCTGACCCAGAGCCCACACCTTCTATAGAACTCTCTCGATGATACCAGCCCCAAAGATGCAAAATCGTTTCCCATCCCCAGGATCTGCCAGCCATCCTTCCTGCCGAGTCCCTGGGCCCCTCAGAGGTTGGGGCCCGGGCCTCTGGGGATCTCCACATGGGTACACACACACAGGATGGGGCCTGGTCTGGGCCCATTTCTTGTCAGTGCGTTGGTAGTGTGGTCCTGATCAGTGTGCCCTTCCTCTTCCACAGCCCAACGACCCTGTCACCAACATCTGCCAAGCTGCAGACAAGCAGCTCTTCACCCTTGTGGAGTGGGCCAAGAGGGTCCCGCACTTCTCCGAGCTTCCTCTGGACGACCAGGTCATCCTGCTGCGGGCAGGTGAGCAGCCGGGACCTGGGGCTGCCGTGGGCTGTCGGGAAAGCGGTGTGAGGACTCTCTGGGCTGCAGACAGGAGCAGGGCTGCCTGTGGGGACCTGTGTGCTCCCTGCACTCGGCACAGGCTTGGGGTGGGAGACGGTGGGTAGGAACATTGCCTTTGGGAGTCGGGGTGAGCCTCCCTGAGCCAGCTGGTCTGTAGAGGGAGCCCCGGCACGTTGCTGTGTTCTGACTGACAGGCCACGAGCTAGCCAAGGCCCAGCTCCTTCCTGTGGAATGGGCACATTGGGCACAGGCCCTGTAGCCGACAGTCTTGGGCTTGAACCCCCAACTGCTTCAGTTGCTTGTTTTACACGGGGTCCCATGCCTCTAGGGCCTTGGCTAATACAAGACAGGTCCCTGATAAAAAATGTAGAAAAATAGCCAAAGATAGCTTTCAGTGCAGCGTGGAATGTTCTGGAAGGTGCTTGGTCAGGGCCAGGATCACACAGGTCCGACCCTCCTTGCTCTTTCTTGAAGGAGCTTTGTGATGGGATCGGGCCATCCACGTGAGCCGGTGTCACCCATCGTAGGTCCTGCCATGCCTGCCTCTGCTTGGATTGTGGTGGTCAGGGACTTCTTGCGGGATCTGGGGATGTTTTGCCCATCAGGGGCATGTCTGTCCAGCTCTGCCCTTGCTTTTAGGGCTCGGTTCAGGGGGTCTGAGTCCAGATGTTGGTGCTGTGCCAAGGCCTGGCGGGGGGCGCTGGCTGAGGCCGCTGTCCTCTCTCACATCCGCTGCAGTAGTTCCGCCACCCTGAGAGCCACAGTCGGCCCAGCTGCAGGCCGGGCCTCTGGTGCCCTGGGGAACGCCCACCTGTGGCTGTGCTGCTGAGCGGTATCCCGCAGCCCCGTCCCCTGTGAATAGGCAGAGATTTCAGGCTGTCTGGGGGGGGGGGGGGTCTCATACTTCTGGGTGGGGAGAAGGGCCCCTTCCTTGAGTGAGAGCCTGCTGAAGTTGTCCAGGGACACTCCAAGATAAGACTTAAATGTTCTGGCTTGTTCCCCAGAAGACTGGAGTACTGTGGGCCTTCTATTCCCCAGACAGATAAACTGGGGCAGTGCCAGGGCCACTCATGGCTTTCTGGCTCCCATGTCTTTACCTACAGCCTCTGTCTCCTGTCATCAGCGTGTGCTGCTGAGCTGTGAGGCCTCATTTGCCACTCCAGCCAGGCCCAGGTCACCAGTAGACAGCCCAGTGTGGCCCACTGGCCCACCCCTGCTGCTTTGGCTTTGCTTCTGTCCCCTCGGAGGCCAGCCTGGGCCTCTACCACAAGCCCTTCAGGTAGCAGCCCTGGAGTTCTTCCTCTGGTCTTCACATGTTTCGCAGCCTCACCAAACTATGGAACCCAGGAGAGAGAGAGAGAGAGAGAGAGTGTATGTGTTGGTCATGGGGCTTGAACGCTGGGTCTGGGCGCTGTCCCTAAGCTTTTTAGCTCAAGGCAAGCATTCTACCACTTGAGCCACAGCGCCACTTCTGGTTTTCTGGTGGTTTATTGGAGATAAGAGTCTCATGGACTTTGCTGCCCAGGCTGGCTTTGAACCATGATCCTGAGATCTCATCCTCCTGAGTAACTAGGATTACAGGTATGAGCCACCGGCACCCAGCTGGAACCCCAGCTTCTTATTCGTCCCTTACATGGGCTACCTGCCACCACCTGGGAACAGGGATGAGTAGACCGGTGAGGTGCAGACCAGCATCCATGCTTCTGTTCCCAGAACTGGCCCATGCAGCTCCTCCATCCATCCACGATGCCCACAGCTCACCTCCCCTGACGGCGAAGGCAGCCAACCAGGGCTCTGCCTGCGTCCGTGGCTCGTGCTGACATTCCAGTGGCCCAAGTAACACAGGGCATGTCTGCACAGCTGGAGGGGCAGCCTGGCCATCGTGGGACAGGGCTTGCTTCCTGGCTTCTGCTGAGGGTCCCTGGAGCCATGCTTTAGAGTGAATCGTGCAGGTCTGGGCACAGGCCTCGGGCCCAGTCTGGACGGTCGTAGACCAGGAGTGAGCACTGATGCGTGGGACTGAGCCAGTGCTGGTCACCCGCTCCCCGCACCTCCCATCTGTTCCGGACAGGCCCACACTTGCCATGGGAGATGACAGTGAGGACTAGGGCTCGATCCAGGTACGAGAGAGCTGTGGGGCGCCAGGAAGAGCCAGCCGTGGAAACCAGGATTGTAGGCATGGGAGATGGCTTCAGGTCATCCAGTCGCCAAGAGCCGTTGAAACATTTGTGCGGAGTCCTTTTCTGAAGTCCCTCTCAGACCCCCTCGTAGCCCTCGGATGCCTGCTGTCCCTGTGGACTAGACTTGATATTAGGAGGATATCCTGTGGTTGGGGACGTGGTGTAGGTGGTAGAGCTCCAGCCAGTGAGCAAGAGCGTCAGATACTGGGTTCAAGTCCTGGTCTCAGACAACAACAAAAGCAATCCCACAAAACAACAAAACCGGAAAAGTCCCCCGAGAATGTCCGCTAGGGCCTCTGGTGCTAAGACGTCCTGTCCTGGTGAATATGCGGCTCTTTGCACTTTGGTGGCACTCCAGATGGCACACCTTGGTCTCTGAGCTTTCTCAGGTTCGGCCTGGCACACTCTGTTCACACCTAACCCGAGGTAGCCGTGGCCGTTGAGAGCCCTCCCATCTTCTCGGTGGCACGAATGCCGCGATGTGCAGACGAGCTCCATGGGCACCTGGCTTTGCTGCAGGAAGGGCTCAGGGTAGTGCTTCTCAGCGCCTGCGCTGTGTCAGTGCTCACTGGGGGAGGAAGAAGCGTTTCCCAGCCTTAGGTCTTAGGAGCCCCTTGCTTGCCTTGTCTTTCTTTCCTGTTTTATTTTTTCTTTGTGTCTGTACTAGGGCTGAAACCAGGGTCTCTTCTCGCTTGGCTTTTTTACCTAAGGCTGGTAATTTTTTACTACCTGAGTCACAGCTCTGCCTCTGGCTTTTTTTGGTGGTTAATTGGAGATAGGAGGCTCACGGACTTTTCCCACTTGGGCTGGCTTTGAGATCCTCAGATCTTAGCCTCCTTCCTGAGTAGCGAGGATGACAGGCAGGAGCCACGGTGCCCGGCAGGAGCCTCTTGTTTGGTGGAATGCTTTTTGGGGTGGAGCCTGCTGCGGGAACTCTGGCTGGGGTGCAGAAAGAGGTGGGTGTGTGACACACTGCTGTTGCTGGAGGAAAGGAGGGGCGGGGCGGGCGGGGTGACCGACTGTGTGCCTCCTCCTCCAGGCTGGAACGAGCTGCTCATTGCCTCCTTCTCGCACCGGTCCATAACTGTGAAGGACGGGATTCTCCTTGCCACCGGGTTGCACGTGCACCGCAACAGCGCCCACAGCGCAGGGGTGGGCGCCATCTTTGACAGGTGGGTGGGCGCGGGGGGCAGGGGGGCAGCTGCCCACCTCCCTGTTCTGCTGGCGTGGGTTTCCTAAGGGCGGGTGGGCCCGGTGGGCAAGGGGAGACCGACACCTCTCTGGCTCAGCCTCACGCCGGTGGTGTTTTCTTGGCTCCTGTCCAGATCTTTCCTTTCGAATCCCGAGTATTCTGTCTGGGAGTTTCACAGCTGCACTTCTTTTTAGCACAGAGGCAGATGACACCGTGGACTTTGGTTTGGTAAATGCCGACGGTGCTTGGCATGTGGCGGTCTGCAGCACTGTGTCTGTGATGCTGTCACAGCCCAGGTGGGCCTCCGCCCTGACGGGCACTGAGTGGCAGGCGTGTCAATCTGCCACTCTGGGACCACGCTGGACACAGATGTGTGCTTCTCTGCGTGCCGCTCCTCAGATGCGCTGAGAGCCACAGCCCACAGCGGAGGGCCTTTGCCTCTGCATGTCACGGTCCTGGAATGCCAGCTTTGTTATACTCTATTAGGCGACGAGCAATTGCTTCCCACCCCTGCCTGTAGACAGCTCTTGTGCAAACCAAGGGCCCAGGAGACCAGAGCACTCTTGGGACTCGGATGCCAGCGTTAGCCACTGGGAGCAGGGGCTGGGAAGGGCATAAAGGATGTGTCGGGAATGGGAAGGAGCAGGCCAGAGAAGCAAGCAGAGAAGCAAGCAGGAGAAGCCCCTGAGGGAGATAACCTGAAAGTGGCGGGTGAGCAAAGCCTCCATCACACCCACAGGAGGACATGTGCATGCCCACGCTGCCCTGTGGTCAGTTCACATGGTGCACACCTGCAGTCCAGGGGCCTGGCCAGCACACACACACACGCCAGGCTGTGCTGCAGGACTTCTCAGAGCCTTCAACAAGTTCACATGCAGGAGCCCCGCCTCAGGGCTGCCGCAGGCGGTGTGTATGATCTACTCAGGTGTCTGTAGAGGGCCTGTCCCTCCCGGGACCTGCCTATGAGAAATGTCATTCCAGCCATGTGTCCTGCTGGTGTGACAGTGCTGGAGGCTTCCAGCTCGTATTCTTAATCCCTGAGGTCCTTTGAGGGGCTATTGGAGAGGCCCCAACTGGTCCCCACCTGCAGAGAGAGTGGGGCCAGAGTGGGCTGTGTGCCCAGCCCCCTGCCTGCCTCTGCAGCCCTGTGACCTGCCCAGGGCTGACGCCCGGGGCTCCCACTGGCCCTGAAGCTGCCCAGGCCTCTGAGCTGCTCTCCTCTCAGCCCCGGGCGCCTGGCTGATCTCCAGGAACCTCACCAGCCTCCAGCCCGCACACTTGTCCCCACGCCTTTCCTGTGGCCTGTGGGGAAGTTTGGGTTCCTGAGGGGAGCCATCTGGGACTCCCGTGGGCCACACCCTGTCCTCCCCTGTCGCCCATCCTTGCCAACCGCTCCCGCTTCCTGGACACAGTGCTCACATTCTGGAGTCAGGGGTGGACTTCAGGGGGCTGGGGACAGACAGGCTGTTGCGATCTGAGACCTCCAGCTCTGGCTCCAGCCCTGCTGTGGACTCCAGGGCGTGGCGGGCTGAGGCTGTGCTGTGGGGAGGAGGCAGTGTGGAGGCCAATGAGAGTGGGCTCCTCCCACTGTGGCTCCCACTCGGGGAGGCCAGGCCCACGGAAAGGCCTTCCTCCATGGGTCGATGGGAACAAGGTCGCTGGAACTTTGTCCACAGCTGGGCAGAAATACATGGGTCCAGATAGGCCCACGAGGCCAAGGTCCTGCCCTTGGGTCCCTTGTCAGTCTGGGTGCCTGGGTTCCAGGACCCCACCTCCAGCCAGATGGGTAGACACCTGTGCTCAGTTAAACCTTCTTCTCCAGCCCTGTCTGGACAGCTCTGCCTGCCCGGCCCGTCCAGTTGCCCTCAGGGTCCTGTTTGGTGGGGGTTCTGGGGGGAGTCTGGGCTGACTTGGGCCTTGGACCTACCTCCTCCTCCCGTAGGGTGCTGACAGAGCTGGTATCCAAAATGCGGGACATGCAGATGGACAAGACGGAGCTGGGCTGCCTGCGCGCCATCGTCCTCTTCAACCCTGGTACGGCTGCAGCCTGCACGGGGGCCCTAGAGAGCTGCTCAGGCGGGTGGGGCTGAGCAGGAGTTGATGCCTGCTGTGCTGTCTGGGGGGGGGGGGGCTGGCTGAGCAGGAGCAGACGCCCGCTGTGCTGTCTGGGGGGCGGAGGGGGGGGGAGGAGGTCTGGCTGCTGGGGGTGGGGTGGCCTTGGAGAGTAGCCAGAGGGCCTCATGAGGCTAAGCCTCTTGAGATGCTCCAGGGCTCTGACTCATCTAGCCCTTCATGGCTGGGCTGTAGGTGTTGGCATACCCAGGCACAGGGCTGTACGGGGCGTGGGGGGGAGGGCGGAGCAGGGGGAAGAACTGGCTGAAGTTGCATCAGCCAGAGGAGTCTGGCACATTCCAGAAAGCCCAGGCCACCCTTGGTGATCACACTGGTGGTTTTGGTGACTGTGGCCATAGCATCTCCATGCAGACTGAGCTTTGGCCTCAGGGTCCTGAGTTGTGGATGGGGTCCCAGACTCCAAAGAGGGCATTCCGGGCCTCTCCCCACAGCATGGGCTTGGGATTTCCGGAGGAGTGTGTGCACCCTCAGTTCTGACTCAATAGTCTCGTCTGGTTACCATGGCAGTGGGGACAGATGCTTGAAGCTGTATGGGCAGGGAAACTGAGTCTCTGGAGGTCAAGGAGCTGGCTTGAGGTGGTGTGGCTTTTGGGAGGCAGAGCCGAGGCTGGGGTCCAGAGTAGCCTGCTTGTGGGTTGCACACACGGCTCGCACTGGGGCTGAGCGGCGGCCCTGGCCCGCTGCACGGCCACCCTATCTGCTGCGTCCTGTGTGGGACTGGAGCCAGCCCCGCAGGCCCAAGTCCCCCAGGGTGGTTCCAGGGACAGCTCCGGGTCGGGGCTCTGACTGGAGGCTTCTTTCCCTGCAGACTCCAAGGGGCTCTCGAACCCGGCCGAGGTAGAGGCTCTGAGGGAAAAGGTCTACGCATCTCTGGAGGCTTACTGCAAACACAAATACCCGGAGCAGCCGGGCAGGTGAGCCTGCTTTGCCTCAGACAACCAGAGGAGAGCCCCTGCTCCATGCCTGCCCCATGCCTGCCCCGTGCCCATCCCGGGAACAGCCTCCGGACCCCGGGGGCCTGTGTGCACTCAGGTGTGGTGCCCTCTGCAGGTGTACCCTGGCACATCCCAGGCGAGGGGCTGAGGCCAGCACAACACCTCACTCAGCAGCCCCTCCCAGCGCTGGCACGTAGTAGGTGCTTAGCTCTGATGGTGCAGCTGCGCACTCTCCCTACCTTGAAACAGGCCTGTTGGAGGCCCAGTGACTGCAGCACGTATTAGGTGCTTTACCATTGTGCAGAGTAAGGTGGCAGTGGCCGGAGCTACCGGCCGCTGCCCGGGAGGCCTGGGACCCATGCGGGACTGAGGGTACTGTGTGCACACTTGGTGTCCAGGAGGAGGGACTGGATTCACAGCCCCATTTTACCTTTCCTCAGAGCAACCTCCTAGTTTCAGGGTCTACAGCTGAGGAGTGAGGGGCAAAGAGAGGCCGGGGTGGGGCACAGCGCTGCCCCTGACTGGCACGCACACAGTTAACTGTCGGCGCTGCTGCTTAGCCCTCATCTGGTTTGGTTTAAAGTAAAACTTTGTGGAGGACGGGGCGGGCTTGTTTTTCCTGGCTTCCCGCCTCAGCCCATTTCACCAGCTCAGCAGAAAACAGCCCGTCCTCTGGCTCCACTCCAGCCTCCAGGCTTCGGACATTTGGGCCTTTAAAACAGGGTTAAGAGGCAGCCCACCACAGGTCTTCCTCCCCTGGAAATGAAAGAGGCCGTTAATAATTAATGCAGCCCCAAGCCCCCAAGGGTCCTGTGTGGAGAGACGCAGGCAGGGTGTAGGGGAGGCCTGGGACAGACATGGGGATCAGGAGGGGCTGCCCTGCCCACCCAGCGTGTCCTCCAGTCTGCAGTGGCCATCCTCATGTCCCTCCCTTCCCCTCCCCTCCCCCTGCCTGGGGGGGGGCGGCAGCACCCTGCCTGGCATCCTGCCTTCCTGCCAGCCCAGCAGAGCTCTTCCTGTGAGAGACAGCTCACAGCATGGGGGGCTCCCAGGAGGCGGGACTCTACAGGACGGGCTGCTTCTAGCACAGAACCCCCAGCCCACCTCAGGCAGGGTCCCCCAGCCCGTGGCTTCCCAGTCATACACTAAGTATCCTTCAGGTCCATGTGCAGCCTGCCTCCTCCAGGGCGGCCCCCCACCTCCTCCCAAGGCCCCTCCATCTCTGGGGGCGTCCTGGAGATGCTTGCGTGTAGCTGGCTCCCAGCCTATGGCTCCGCGGGGCTCCCTGGCACGCTGGAGTAGGTCTGCGAGCGCCACTTTGCATCCTGGGGGGGCCTTTGCCCCGCCCTTCCACTCATCTTGCTGCCCAGAGCTCTCCTGCCCCAGTGGAGCCTCCTTCCTACTGCAGACCGGGCCTGCCCGCTCACTCAGCATCAGGTTCCTGTGGGCCTCCAGGCACTGGGCCGGTGGCCTCACCCGGCCTCCTCGAGGCCCCTCACCTGCCTGCTCTCCCGCAGGTTCGCTAAGCTCCTGCTCCGCCTGCCAGCCCTGCGCTCCATCGGACTCAAGTGCCTGGAGCACCTGTTCTTCTTCAAGCTCATCGGGGACACGCCCATCGACACCTTCCTCATGGAGATGCTGGAGGCCCCACACCAGATGACCTAGGCCCACCAGCGGGCCCTCGTGCCACCCAGTCTGGTGCCCCGCCTGGACACAGCTGCCCTGCCCGGCTCCAGCCCTGTGCCTGCCCCACCCCCCTGCCTGGCCCGTGTGGACCTTTGGGTGCAGTGTGTCACTGCAGCTCCGAGAGATGTTTCCATTCTCGTTAACCTTTATTACTGCTTGTTATTGGCCCAGGGTGGTGCTCTCCTGGGGCAGTGGCTGAGGTGGCCAGAACGGGTGTGAGGCCCAGCCAGGCCTTTCTCCATTCTAGCAGGCTCTTGGGGTGCCCTGCCATGCCCCAGGGGGGCTCAGGTGGCTGCACCCAGAGCTGCAGGAGCTGGGAGGGGCTTGTTCTGGCCTCCGTCTGCTGTTGCTGGTTCTCCGAGTCTTTGGGGTGATCCTCACGTGTTGGAGTCCTGGTCCCCTACTTGGGGACAGGAAGGGGTAGACGGGGACAAGGCTGCGTGTCACTGCAGAGCTACTGGCCCTGGAAGTCAAGCAGGGACCGGCCTGCAGAGCTCCCACTGCAGAGTTCAGGGTGGCACGCCTCTTTTCCAAAGATAACTTGGGACTTTGTCCCTGGAGCTAAGGACAGGGGACCCCAAAGGGCCGCATTTGGGGGCCAGAGCAGGCTTCGGGGGCCAGGGCCGCTTGGTCGCTTTGCCTGTTTCCTCTCTGCATCATTGTCTCAGTTTTAGCTTCTTGCCACCCCACGTTCCCATCCACCCAGGGCAATAAGACCACAGTGCCACGGCCCCTCGTCCTCTGTCAGTCAGTGTGGTGGGCCAAGGGCTAGCCCAGTCTCAGGTGGCCTTGTGAGAAGCACATGGCCATCCTGCTGCAGGCTCTGTTGGAAGAAGGCTGCTGGCCAGTGGGCAGTTAGTTACAGGAACTTGTGGATGAAGGAGCCATGCAGGTGGGGGCAGAGGTGCCGTGTCCTGGTGCACTGTGGGGGCCTGCGTGAGCCTCTTCTCTGGCCTTCGGGGGTCCCCTGAGTGGCCTTGGGTATCTGCAGATGACATTTGCCCGGAGCCTGAACTGGGTCCGTGTCTCTGCTCTGGCTGGGTCTGGGCCCCTCCTGCCGCCCCGCCTGCCTGCCCCTCACCCTACCTGCCCTGCACAGCCCCACCCCGCCCCTCACCCTACCAGGCACTCTCAGGTTGGACAGCCTCTTCTGCACTGTGCGCCTCACGGTGGCCCCGGTACGTGTCACATAAAGTCTTAGACCCCGGGGGCCAGGTTTGTCGGAGCAGGTGCCCGAATGGAGGGGCTGAGGGATGCAGGCTGTTGCCGGGAAGGCCCTCGGCTCTCCACGGCTGCTCAGAGCGAGCTGCCGCCTCCCTTTGGGTGCAGCCGCCTGTGGGTGGGGTGGGTCTTGGGAGGAACTGGTTCCTGGGCCTCTGTGGGAAGGGCTTCTCCAGTCCTTGCCTTCCAAGAGCCCCCAGCTACGTCAGCGCAGGCACCTGGGTAGAGTCAGATGGTGCTAGAGACTGTGAAGGATTCCAGAAACATCTTCCTACCACCTGCTCCTCCTTTCAACACAGTGGCTTCACGCGGTACCAGGGCCAGCATCCATTCTCTCTGTCCCGTCCCCCTCCTTCCCCCTCCCCCTGCCAGACTCTCCCTTTGGCTACGCCAGCAAGGGCCCCTGCTCCACACCAAGCGTGTGCCTTCTGCTGAGCTGAGTGCCCCGGCCCTGCTGAATGGGGTCCGGCTGGTTATAGAGCACTGAGGCCTCCTGAAGCCAGGCCCTCAGCCCCTCTGGTCTGCCCACCACCCCTCGCCGTCACCGACTCCCCCTGGGCTTCCTGTCCCTCATCCTTTGTCCATTGTCACCATTTTTGTGCACAGCACCGGCTGTGGGCCATGCCATGTTACCCGGCGAGGAGCTAGGGTGCTTGTTTACTTAACCAGAACTTCAGTAGTATTACCAATCTGGCTCAATTAAGGTGATTCTTTTGGTAATATTATTTTGGTGGGACAATCTTTAATTTTCTAAAGATAGCACTAACATCAGCGCATTAGCCACCTCGTGCCCATCCTTGCCTTGGCTGCCACCGAGGACTGACCTGGCTGCCCCCCCCCCCCCCCCATGTTCTGATGGGGCCTCTGTGGCTGAGAAGCAAAGGTGGAGCGGTGTGGCCTGCCTGGGATCCGTCCCTCAGGTGGGCGCTGGTGGCGGCCGCTAGCCCTCATCAACCTGAAAACATCGTTTCTGGGGAGACTCAGCGATCTTCCAAGCCACAGTCCCCAAGGATTCCAGGCTGGCAGCCCCCTGACAGTGCAGACGGCACCGAGCCCCTCCCCTGGAGTCCCCAGGAGGGCTGGGCTGGAGTGCGGGGTAATCAGCTGACGTGCCGTCACCGCCCCGGTGTGCACCGCCTGACCCCGTCCCCGCAGTGTGGCATGGGCACGGACACGCCGGACAGAGGCAGCGCCCCTGGCCAGACCAGCCGCCGGCAGGAGCCGAGTCGCCGTTACCAATGCTCGGTGTTTGTTTTTAATCGAGACTTTCCCCTGTAAATTCGCTTCACGTGCGCGCGCACCTGAGGACCCTTCCACGGAACCGGGGCCGCGACCGGCGCGAGGCGAGGAGCTGCATCTATTTTCAGATGCCGAGGAGCCCAGCGGCGCCCGGCCTGGCCTTGGGCGGTTTTTGGCTTGCCACAGGCGGCCACAGTCAGAGAGTAAAGATGAGAGAACCTGTCTAGCGCGTCGGGAAAGGTAAAAGAATCTATTTTTGTACAAATGTAATTTTATCCCTCATGTGTACTGGATGCCGTGGCAGGACGGGACCTGTTGTGATTCCGCTTCTAGTGGTCAAGGCCGCACAGGCCGTGGGGCGCCAGTGGCGGCGGAGCGCCTCCCCGGACTAAACCGCGGCAGACCGACGCCGGCCTGTGCGGAAGCGCGGCTGCGCAGGCGCGTACGTTCAGGGTTTTCTTCCCCTTCCAGCGAGTTGCACAGCCTCGCGGTGCCCTCGCCGTCCGCCGGTCTTCCTGCGACTCTTGACTGTGAAATTACTTCCCCAAGTAATTATCCTCTGAAATGGGGGGCAGATGCCGGGGTTTCATCAACAGGGGTCTTGGAATTGTGGGAAGGAGATACAGAGAGAAAACGTGAGAGGAGAAACAAATATGAGCGTTTCAAAATATATTTCCGTTCAGTTCTCATGTGTTTCTGTTTGGGTGTGGGAGTCGCCGGCGGGCGGGCTGGGCGGGCTGGGCGGGCGAGGGGGTGCTGCGGTCAGCCCCGCCCTCCCGGCCACACCTGGGTGGGGGGAGCTGCCTGCTGGGGAGGGAGGAGCTGCTGCTTTGTCAGTCTTGTCTTCCTTGCCTCATCTGTGTTGTTGAGGGGTCACAACCAGGACTTCAGGTTCTGGCACCTTCTCTCCATCTGCCCTGCCTGAAGTATCTCTGGGGTTCTGGCCTGTCTGGAAGCATCTGCAGAGCCCTGCGTGGTACCCACACGCACCAGGCGTGCGCACACTTGCCGAGCCCAGCCCCAGGCTGCCCGAGCCCAGCCCCTGTGTCCGTGCTGGCCGGAGCGGGCAGAAGGTTCACACGGAGGGCCACAAAATAAATGATGTCATCTAAGTGCCTGATTAATAGCAGGTTCACATAGCTCTGTCGGTGCCATCTCGTGTGATAAGTGCCCTCTGTCTCCATGCCGTCTGAGGGTTGGGCTGTCCCCCAGCCGAGGCTGGATGATCGCGCCTCATCCTCTCACGAGGCCTTCTGTCCGGCCAGCCTCTTGAGAAGCCCAAGGCCTGGGGAGCTGGACTCAGGGCCCAGCACCCTGGACGCTTCTGCGGAGCCAGGCAGAAGGACCTGAAGGGCAGAAGCTCCCCGCTGTCAGGTTCCAGGAACACACCTTCACACATGCATGCGCACACAGGTTTTTACATACTCAGTCCTAGGGGACTGGCCACAGTATGGAAGTGGTAGGCAGGGTGGTCAGGAGCTGGGACACTCTCCCCGGTGCTAGGGTGGCCATAACCTGAACGGAGCCTTTCTGGGGCTCCTGCCATGGCTGTGTGGCTGGTGCAGTGACACCCTGGAGACAGATACCATTGCCACCTTCTTTGGACAGTGCCAGCCTCGACTGCCCACTGAGGGGAACCCCCCCCCAATTGGTCAGTGCCATCATCTTCGCTCCTGGGCCTTTGAGGGGTTTGAGTGGGGGCGGCCTCCGCCTGCTGCCCCTGGTCAGTGCAGTCCCTCTGCTGGCCTCCCGGTCTGGGGCCCTGTGCATCTGCTGTGTAATAAAGCCTTGTGTGGACAGTCCCCACGGGCTGCTTGCGTGGTCTGGAGAGAGCCCAGGCCACCCGGGTTGAGGCTAGATCCTGCCTGCCGGGTGCTGTCAGGACCCACAGCCTCTGGTTGGAACCGGGCCGATCCCTGGCCACCCCTGCTTGCCCTGTGACCTGGGCACAGCTCCACAGATGCCCGTCCTTGGAATGGAGGAGGGAGGACTCTGTGGTGTGCAGGGCACAGCTGGTGACAAGGGGTAACAGGCAGAGTAGAGCCCCCGGGCCTCTGGGGAAGGGAGGTGGAAAGCCCTCTCAGGCCCCCAAAGCCTATGGTGCTGTTTTTTTGTTTTTACAGTAGAGTTTCATCTTATTAAGATACCCCCCCCCCAAAAAAAAAAACAAACAACTCAGGAATGATACAGACAAAACAATTGCTCGTGGTCACTGCTGGACAGAATTAGAGCACACAAGCCTCTGTCCTGTGTCCGGTAGTGTTTGGAAGCGTGGTGTATATTACTTGGGCATTTAAATGCAGGTGCTGGTTGTTAGGCAGGAGGGAAGGGGCCAGAGGGCCGGGTGGGGCAGGGCAGGGCTGGAGGCCGCCATTTCCCAGGATTTGAGCATACCCAGTGTCGAGCTAACAGAGCAGAAACCCCACACTGCCCGGCTCACTGTGTGGCGGCCGGGCGCAGGCTTCCTGCTGCTTCTGGTTGCCATGGCAACGCCCGCCCCGGGCAGCCCCTCTGGACCAGAGATGCGGTTTTGATACATTGTCACTAGTGGCATCAGGTTTGATACATTTGTCACTAGTGGCATCAGGCAGGATGGCCTCAGGCCAGCCAGCGCAGGGGTTGGGGAACCTGGAAGGAGGGGCGGGGTGAGGTTTTGGGCCTGGGGACAGCGAGCCTTTGGATGGAGAGTACCGGGCACTGCTAAGCACCTGGATGCCCAGGCCCTGGTAGCTGAGGGATGGGTTAAGTCCGGCCCTCCCAAGTGTGATGGAAGGGTAGGAAGGGGATGAGGCTCCCTCCCAGGCCTGGGCCCAACAGAGGCTGATGGCCTAGTCACCAAGGGGAGCCAGCATAGAAGTTGGAGGCTATGGAGGGGCCTGATTTTCTCCCCCCTCCGCCCCCCCCCCCCCAACAACGACCAAGTCTCCATGGCAGGAATCCAGGTATGAGATAGCACTGCCCCCTACTGGAAATGTTGGGACAAGGCTGGTTCTCTCTGGGGCTTTCTGGTTCCTTCCAGGGCCTTGGGGTCCACACACTTCATGCACCTCAGAGTCACCTGGGAGCTTCTGGGGTTCTGACTCCTGGGGAATGAGGTCAGGTTTGGGCAGGAGCCGCAGCTTCTCCCTGGTGGACCCCAGGGAGGCTTGAGTGCAGGGCTGGGTGCCGGACCCCGTGGTGTGTTTGCCTGGCAGCCCCCTCCCCAGCTCCGTTCCCTGCGTACGTGAGGACAGAGTGCACACACCACAGCCTGTGACAAAGGTCTGCTCACCTGGACTGTGCCGCGCGGTTTACTCAGGGTCAGGAGACTGCTCGGACGTGGGGCATAGCCGGCAGGCTGTGGACATGTTTCCTGGGGCAGAAGGTTGGGGCCTGGAACTCTTTTAGGGTTAGAGAAAGCCAGGGGTATGATTCTGGTCCTAGGAGGGGGAGCATGTCTACTGGGGAGGGCTATACAGATAAAGAAGCATCGGTGTCCTTGAACTGTGTGCCTCTGAGAGCCAAGGTCAGGCCAGAGCTGTCTGAAGGGGTCACATTGGGAGAGGCTTTGGGAAGTGTGGAAAGGTAACATGGTGATTCCTTCCATTCATCCATCCATCCATCCATCCATCCATCCATCCAGCTGTCCATCCTTACATCATTGACCCATCCATCCGTCTGTCCATCCTTCCATTATCCATCCATCCATCCACCTGTGCATCCGCCCATTATCTGTCCATCCAGTCATTTGTCCGGCCGTCTACCTCCCATCCCTCCGTCATCCATCCGTTCCACATCGCTTTGCAGGCTGAGGCTCTCACCTATCCCACCAGGGCAGAAGGACATTACAGAACTGAAATCCTGAATCTTTGGGAACCCAGGTCCCCTTTCCTGGGCCTGTTCCCTGAGAGCCGCGCTGAGAAGCCTGCGTGACCGGTCCTGGGTGCTGCGATGGAGAGCTGTGTTCTGTGTTCTGGAGCTGCTGGTTGGCACAGGACTTTGGTCCCCTGCCCTACTTGCACCAGCAGCTGCCAGTGCCTGGCCCTGCCACCTGTGGGACAGCCCCTCCCACCCCCAGTGTGAGAGGAGGCATGGTCTGAAGGCCAAGCCCATCCCAGGGAGGTGGGGAAAGTCCTGGCCTCCACGCCCCCTTTGTGTTGCTGTGAGCCTGTGTCCTGAAGGCTTAGGGAATTCACAACTGGCCCAAGAGGAAGAGTCTCACGCGGGCAGCTACTCCGTTGCTCACACGAGAAGAGCCCACGGCACACGGTTGGCTGGAGCAGGCCCGGGCAGCAGGTCCCCGCCCCCAGGCCCCTGCTGGGGCAGGAGCGTGTCTCTGAGGGCCTCGCCGCCGCCTTCAGGAGAGGTGGCAGAGGCTGAGGTGGCCTTCCT